CTACCAAATTAGGGGGAGCTTATACATGATCCTGAGCAATATAGAAGATTGGTTGGAAAATTGAATTATCTTACAGTTACTCATCCTGACATTTCCTTTACAGTCAGTGTGGACATTTCCTTTGCAGTCAATGTGGACATTTCCTTTGCAGTCAGTGTGGTAAGTCAATTTCTTGATTCCCCATGTGAAGATCATTGGAATGCAGTCATTCGTATCTTACAGTATATTAAATGATCTCTTGGAAAAGGATTGTTATATGATTCTAATAACCATACAAGAGTTGTTTGCTACTCAGATGCTGATTGGGCAAGATCTCCTTCGGATAGAAGATCTACATCTAGATATTGTGTCTCCATTGGTGGTAACTTGGTCTCATGGAAAAGTAAGAAACAAAGTGTTGTGCCAAGATCTAGTGCAGAAGCAGAATATAGAGCTATGACATCAGCTGCTTGTGAACTTGTTTGACTCAAGCAATTGCTTAGAGAGTTACAATTTGGAGATGTCACTCAAATGTCACTTGTGTGTGACAATCAGGTTGCTCTTCATATTAGTTCTAATCTTGTCTTTCATGAGAGGACCAAACACATTGAGATTGACTGTCATTTCATTCGAGAAAAGATTATGTCTGGAGACATCAAGACTGAGTTTGTTAACTCAAGTGATCAGTTAGCAGATATTTTTATTAAATTTTTACGGGGTCCTAGAATTGATTATATTTGTAACAAGCTTGACACATACAATTTGTATGCTCCAGCTTGAGGGGGGTGTTAGATATTGTTTAGATATTATTTGATATTGTTAAGATAGTGTTAGATATTGTTAACCACAATATCAAACAATATCTTATGTTTATTCTGTTACTTTCAGTTACTCTTTTAGTTGTATCTATCTACTATAAATAGACTACTCTATATTAATTCCAAACTTTATTTCTTCTATATTCAACAATTTCTAAATATAATTACAATTTTCTAATACATATTTTTTTATAAATTACTCATTTATACTTAATACAAAAAATTTTAAGTAATAATAATCTTGAAAAAATATCTTCATATCATTGATTTTATGAAGAAACTATTAATTTATAGCAAACATACTGGAAATATCATTTAAAGTAGAGCTAAAAATATATTATTTTTAATAAATGGAAATGAAGTGTGATTTTGATATTTAACTTACCATATCACATTTTTATTACAAAAAACATACTGGGAAAATATTTTATATTTTACTATATAAAAGTGTTAAAAAGATACATTTATATGCAGTGCTGGTACATAAATGTTCAAACAGTAAAAAATAATTAACACTACTATTTATAATATATTTTGTTTTATTATTTAATTTTGAATAAAAAGAAAATATGTCAAAATTTGTTCCTTTAAAAAATGCTCCCACTTCTCAATAACATATCACACTTTACAAAGTATGGGTGAAAAAAAAAGGAAAAAAAATAATAAATTGTTCTTGACAAAACATTTTAAGAAAAAAATTAAATGTTTCTGTTATTGATTTTTTTATTGGACAAAAAATCTTAATCACCCTTTCAAGAGTCCATTCACATGAATTGTAAAAAGGAAAACATGGAATTTATTAAGTGACACCAATTAAGTAGGACATTCGCTTCATTACCTGGTAGAAACAAAAAAAAAAAGCTATACGATACACTTGTTCTTTCAAATTAGGAGGAAATACTACATTTGTAACCAAAATCTAATTTGGTTATACATATTTAAAAATATTTGATCTTTTTACTTTTTTTTTCTCACTTCCTTTCTTAAATTAAAAAAAAAATCATAAATATTTTTGAAAGCATATATGTGAGTCTTAAAGACATGGCAACGGGCGGGGCGAGGCGGGTTTTGCCTCCCAGATCCCCGGACTTTTTAATCATCTTCGTCCCCGTCTCTGATTTTCGGCGGGGTTAGAAATTAAGTCCCCATCTCCATCCCTAATTTATATTATTTTTAAAAAAATAATTACATTTATAATAAATTAATTTTACTATTTATTTTTTATATATAAATAAATATTTATAATTATTATTAATTAAATATACATTTTAATTTATTATATTTATATTAAAATATGTATGCAAAAGAAATATTTAATCATTTTTTTATAATAATATTATTATTATAATACTGTATTCAAATATTTGAATATTTATAACACTATTATTATAATACTATATTCAAACATTTGATTATATATATTAGTTAATTCATTTTTAAGTTGTCATTTAAAAATATGAAATATATAGTTTATAAGGAAATATTTAATAAGTTAATTCTTATTCAATTAGTTCGAAGTAATAAAAATTTAAATTATCATTTCCTTTAATCCTTTAAAATACAATTATTTTATTAAGATAAAATTTGATATATGATAAATAAGAATAATAAGATAAAAAAAATGACATAATAAAACCTAATAAATATAAATTATAAATAAAATAATATTAGTTACTACTAAGATTTATGTAAAATATTTAGAAAAAGATAAAGAATAAAAAATAATTAACTTTGTGTTCATCAAATTGGTTGAAAAGATTGACAAAAAAACAAATTGATGGGAGAGATTAAGGAAATGTGAAAAAGCTGAAAGGTAAGAGAAAAAATAATATAATAAATTAATTAATATAAAAGATTAAAAAAGACAAAAAATTAAAAGTGGGTAGAAGAAGTTTTTTTGGTGAAATATAAAAAAATGACCTTATATGTAATAGAAAAAAAGGAAATACTTTTAAAATATTAATATTTTAAAATTTAAATTTAAATATAAAGTCGGGACGGGGACGGGTGCAGGTGAGGATTGCATTACCCAGCCCCGACTTTTAAAGTAGGAAAACCCGAACCCGCCTCCACTCCCGATTAACTCGGATTTTTCAAACTCGGGACGGGACGAGTTTAATTGACATCCATGCTTAAATCCATACTTAAAGTACGTGTTTAACTGTAGTTAATGTTGCAATTTAATCTTATGGGTCCAAGATAGGTCTGAAATTATAAATTTATTAACAAAATATAATTATAAGGAAAAAAATTGAAAAATGTCTTAACCAGTACTAACTTTGCAAAGAGTTTAGTTTCCACAATCATTTTCGTAGTTAATTAACAAACATTGAAATCCATGCATGCATTTAGGGGAGTGGAATGGAACCAAAAAACAAAGAACATTGAAATTGTTGGTAGGGTTGCTTTATCCTAGCTTTTATCATTATATTAATTATTAAAACCAACAATGACAATGGTCCAAAAAAATTGTCAGTTTCCGCTTTCGATGATAACAACTAAAGTTGCCTATACAAGACACCGAAAAAAACGGTTTGTCTCCTATTCAGGTCAATTCATCCATGCAGGCCAATGCTGCACCACTAAACCATAACCAACACAATAACCATCCCCTCTTTATAATCATCACTCTCCCAACAGAGATTCATTCCAATTAACACATCAATCTTCTCACTTTTCCTCTCTCTCATTGAGTTTTTTTTTCCCACAATCAATTAATCAACAAAATGGGTTGTGGGAAATCTAAACTCGATGTTGTTCCCGGAAGCACCTTCCTCCAACGCAGGAAATCCAGTGTCAAGGAAACCAAGGAAACTGAGGCACAATCCGTGGAGAAAAACAATGATGTTAGCGTTGATAATGTAACTTTAGAAGTGGACGAGAAGAACAAGGAAAATGTCAAAGAGAAGGGTGATGATGAGTCCAATAATGTTTCTAAGATAACAAAGGTGGAAGAAGATAAGACATTGGAGAAGAGCCAGGAAGCTGAAGAGATCAAGACACCGGAACCTGTTGTTGCTGAAGAACCGAAAGAAGAGTCTGTGAAGGACGAGAAAGAAGAGGAAGTGAAGAATGTTGCTATTGCAAAAAAGGAAGAACAACAAAATGTTGCAGAAAAGGAACAACAACCAACGGAACAAAAGGAAGACGAAAAGGAGAAAGGTGTGTAAAGGATGAATCTTACGCTTTCTTTTAGAATATTTATCTAAAATATTTGAACCTGAAACATGATACTACTTAGACCACCCTCATGTTTTACATATATGATTCTTCATTTTTGCAATGAAGAATGAAAACTCTAATATATATCTGATATTATTCGGATTAATTTTATGCTTCAAATAATTTTAACATAATCTGTTTATTGATTTCGATCATACATTACCCTTCACCGTATTTTCCCTTAAAATCTAATCTGTTCACCGTTCTGCGTGGACAGAGGATGTGAAGGGAGAGGCCTTGGAGAAGGAAGAACAAAGCAAAGACACAAATGAAGAGACCTTGGTTAAGGAAGAACAAAGCAAAGACACAAATGAAGAGACCATGGTTAAGGAAGAAGTTAAAGAAACAAAAGACGAGGAAAAGACTTTGGTCAATGAGAAAGAGACTGAAGTTGCAAATGTTACAACTTCAACCTCCTAAAGTGAACAGAGATGTTTGAAATTTTGAGCAGGTATGTGGGGCTAGTCAAGGAGAGTTGGAATGTTAATTTGTCAAGTCATAACCAAATTCGAGTGATGAATTTGATTGAAACATGTTTGTGCTGCAGGAACAAACAAACGAGACAATCAGAAAAGGATAAAATGTGATTAGAGGGACATCACACGAATTATTTATTCTGGTTGCATTGCAAGTCCATGGTGTTTCCGGTTCATATTGGTCATTATCAAAGCTGATTAAGATGGAAACCGCTTGGATATGTAGTGCTGACTGCTCATGTCTATGGTGTTTAGCTTTTGTTCATTTTGTATTCGTCTTGCATTGACTTTTCCTTTCCTCTGTCCTCTCGCAACATTATACCAATATAATATAATATACTCCACAGGAGTTATTTTTTACTTCATGGTTACACGATTTGATTGTATTAATCTGGTATCTGGGTGAAATTATAACTTAAAATACACTATTTGTTTATTCACTTGCTAAACTTATACTTACATTCTCAATAGGGTAAAGGAGGATGAAAATATAATTAAGAACAACCGAAAGATAATCCATTTACAAATTATTTCACGATATGATTTTTATTGACTTTAGTAATAATTATTGCCTAAAACTATTTACTTACAATTATTCTTTGTTGTTATGAAAACAATTTTATTTTTCACTTTAATAACATTGTATTCAATAGAAAATGTTTTGGGGTGGTTTTCTCCCTAAACGTATCTTTGTAGCCTATCATCTTGCATCTTAGTTTCACTGTTCTTATTTTTAGAGCTTACGATTTAAAGTTATTATAGTTGAACTTATTTTACTTAAATAATAACAACGCTATATATAATATTTTAAAGAGAAACAGAATATCATAATTTTATTATACTAAAAGTTAAAATGAAAATATTATTATAGTTAATTCTTAACATTTATAAATATACCAATTTAAATTAAATATATCGTAATAATTATGTTAAATTAATAAAATACAATAATATCCACTACAATAACAAGTTTACATACAAAAAAATAATAATAAAAATAATAACACAATATAATATAAAGTTATACGAAAATAAGATATAAAAAGTATAAATTAATATAAACAACATATATTATAACAAATAAACTAATCATTGACAAATATATGATTATAAATTTATAAATAACGTTAAATATATTTCTTACCTTAAAATGATTTTAGATTAAAATTAAAAAAACAAAAATATAACTTTTTGTATTATCTTTAACCGATTTTGTAAATTATTTTTTACAGGTTCTTAATCCGTTTATCTATTCTCACCGTTTTTGAAATCATCTTGTTTTATACAATGGATAAACAGGGACATACTCGTTGTTAGAGTAACAAAAATTCTATATTCACAAAATCATTGATAAAAGGTATTTTGGCAAAAACAGAAGAAGAAGGTTGTCTTCTTGAGTTATAAACTTAGATGATTGAAAAATTAGCAAAATTTGGAAATAAGTATAGAATTAATATATGTATGGTTATTTAGAATGAGACCGATTTTTTTTTTAAATAATTAAAATTAATCGAAATCAAATAATAAATATTTATTTGATTTAGATTGAATTTTATATTAAATTAAAAGAAGAAGAACCACGCGAAGGTTATCAAGTAGGACCGAGAAAGCCCAGAAAGAAAAGGTGTGGCCCAAACCGACCCAATTCAATGGGATGCAAGCGGGAAAATTACGTTTCCCGAATCCCATTATTGGCGCGAAATATTCGGTTCGCTTCTACTTTGTTGGAGCCGCAGATCCCACTATTCAAATCCCACGGTCACAATCGCCTTGATCACGCAACCCACAAATTTTTTTCATCACGCTTTAAAATAAGTACTCGCTCGCGCTTCCTTTCTCTCTCTTATCGTACAACAGCAACATAGTCTTTGCGAAACCCTTGATCTGAAAAAAGTACCAATGGGGAGGCCCTCCAAGACACAGGTTTCCAACGACTCAACCTCCGAGGAGGAGGAGGAGGACGTCGCCGCCGCCGACAACCACCAGATCGAAGACGATGACGAGGAGCTCGAAGCAGTGGCGCAGTCTGCTAGCTCCGACGACGACGATAATTCTCCCGATGAAGCCGCCGATGACGATGACGACGACGACAATAAACAGGTAATTCTTAAACCCTGCATCTTTGTATTTTCATCTGTGTTGTTCTCCGATTTCGTCTCGTGTACTGCATTTTTGTGTTTTTGAGCTAGGTTTATTGCACTGATTTTTTTTTAATATTATCCGTACTCGTTTGTATTTCGCTTTTTGTGTTGCATTTTGGTGTTTTTGTTTGCGATCGGGTGCTTGTCCCTTGAAGTGTGGTTTTCATGTTGTATTGTGTTTTTTGACTGTTTGATTGTAGGATGACAGTAATGATCCTGAAGTTAGCAAACGTGAGAAGGCTAGATTGAGAGAATTGCAACAGTTGAAGAAACAGAAGATTCAGGAGATATTGGATGCACAAAACGCGACCATTGATGCTGATATGGTGTGTATTGATTATTCGCTGTAGATTACATGGGATGTTTTTTCTTACTTTATATTATGTTATTTTGTTTTTAAGTAAACGTTTGTCTTTAACTGATATGTATGATGCAGAATAATAGAGGAAAAGGCCGATTGAAGTATCTCCTACAGCAAACTGAGCTGTTTGCCCATTTTGCCAAGGGTGACCAATCTTCTCAAAAGAAGACAAAAGGAAGGTACTTTCTGAAATGTCACGAATATGTTGTAATTTGGTTGGGGAGTGTATTTTGTATTTTATGGCTTAAAATATCATCTGAAATTTTAAAAAATGTAACCATGTGATAGCAAATAACCACAATAAAAGGTGAACAGTGAATTTTGCACCTGAATTTCTAATGGTAGTTGACAAGGTTCAGACAAGCGAAAAGTAGTTGTGAATTGTGATTAATCTGATCCTGCCTTCGTTTAAAGGACTTATATTGCATTAAATCACTGACTATTTTAGGGGTCGCCATGCATCAAAAGTCACTGAAGAAGAGGAAGATGAAGAATACCTGAAAGGAGAAGAAGATGGTTTAGCAAACACCCGGCTGGTGTCTCAACCTTCATGTGAGCATTATTTCCTTGAAGTGCATACTTGCACATCATTCTATTTTAGTTACTTGCATTTGTTGTTATGCTTGTGCCTCCTCTTCTCTCCGCTTTGTCTTCATGTTTCCTTTGATTGTGGGAAGAACATTGGGATGCCAGCTCTCTGTCATAAATAATAATACTTGTTAAGCATGAATTGGTTGGATAAAAGTTTATGCGAGTTCTTTGAGCTTGTGGTAGAAGGCTTACATTCTGGTTGTTGGTTCTCATACAAAGAATCTACATATGTTCCAATTTGAATACATCCTAAAAGCATTTTTTTTACATTATATGCGTGTTCTTCTTCACTTTTGTTGGCTTTTTGTTTAGTTCCCAATGCCTATCTAGAATCAGATAATGGATTGCCCTTGAATTAAATATTTTGGGTTTTTCTTTGTCTAGCATGTGGATTCTTTGTATTTGACATGGCTAATTTGCTCAACAGGTATCCAGGGAAAGATGAGGGATTACCAACTTGCTGGGCTAAACTGGCTCATTCGATTGTATGAGAACGGCATAAATGGAATCCTGGCAGATGAAATGGTAGGTACCCAATGCTTGCCTCAGATAATTCTAGTTTAAATAACTGCATCATGTGTAGTTTGATGGAATGAATGTTTTAGTAAAAAAATGATGAAATATGAATGAATATGTTTTGCAGGGGCTTGGAAAAACCTTGCAAACTATATCTTTGTTAGGCTACTTACATGAGTTCAGAGCAATAAAAGGTCCTCATATGGTGGTTGCTCCAAAATCTACACTTGGAAATTGGATGAATGAAATTCGGCGCTTCTGCCCTGTTTTACGTGCTGTAAAGTTCCTTGGCAACCCAGATGAAAGGGTGCGACTGGCTTTACTGGATCAAATTATATGCTTAAAATTACAATCAAAGCTTGCTTCTGACACTTTTGCGAAATTGTTTAAATAACTGCAGAAACACATTAGAGAAGAGTTACTTGTTGCTGGTAAGTTTGATGTGTGTGTTACAAGTTTTGAAATGGTGATTAAGGAGAAGTCTGCTTTACGCCGATTTAGTTGGCGCTACATAATTATTGATGAGGCACATCGAATCAAGAATGAGAATTCTCTCCTGTCCAAAACAATGAGGCTATACAACACAAACTATCGTCTCCTCATAACTGGCACACCATTACAGGTATAATTTGTGTTTCATACATACACAATGGTATTGTTATCACAAGAAGTGATATTTTTTAAATCTTTGTTGTGTTTAATTCAAACTTGTTTTAGCAGAGGTTAAAATTGTGTTAGATGAGTAGGTATATTAGTTTTGACAGGATTAGGAATGAATGCTTGATAGCGCCCTATTGTAGAAAAGATGGTTTAAAATTGCCTGAGATGGTTAGACCATGTGTGGAAAAGACGTGTAGGAGACCCCAAGAAGGAGAGTGGATCAAATGGAAAATAGCCTGACAATTTAAGACTTGTAGGTGGAGAAAGATTGGAAAAAAAAAACAGGCAAAACCATTAAGAACGAATTAGAGATCAGGCCAACAATTTGTATACAAACATGATTTATGAAAATATAGTGGCCTCATTTGAAACATGTAGCTAATGCTAAAAAATTGAGAAAACGCTTTGTTGTTATCTTTATTATTGCATTTTGTATATAACTTATTGATCTCTGAGAAAAGAAATGTCACCATGCCAATTTGTTCATATAATTGAATTAAATATGATCTTATCGGTACAGGATTAGTAAGTCCTCAAGTGAAAAAGATTGTTCCATCTGTTTTCTAGTAGACAGTTGATTTTTAGTTTTAGTTTCTGATCCGTAGAGCCTTTTATGCTCTACATTGTTTTTGGTTGGATGGAAAGAACTGAATTTTCTCCCTATACATATTTGTTATTTCTTCTGCCTATTTTTTTATTTAAAATCCTTTTTTGTGAAACAATATTTGTCATAATATGCAAGAATTTGCTCAACTATTGCTTACTATTTGGTTTATTGGTAACTTCAAATTTGAGGAAAGATTGATCAATTCATGTTTGTTGAGATTTTACTTTTATCTATGGTCATTTTATGGTTGATTAAGTAGAAAAGTTGATTTATAACTTTGGCTAAATTGGTAGATTTTTTTTGCTAGTTTCTGTTATTTGAATGCTTTATATTTTATCTGACACTTGGGGCTTGCTTGGATAAACTTTTCCAGAAAGACTTTTAGGAGGGGAAAATAAGAAGAAAAAACAATGAGATAAGCTTCTTCATAAGCTAAAGCTTATGCACAAGTTATTTTACAGAAGCTTTCTCATATCCTTAAATTCTATTTTAGTTCATGGAGAAACTCATTTCATATTTTTCTCCTAGAAGTCCTTTTGATGAAGTTCATCCAAACAGGTCTTTTAAATTTAATTTTTGAAGTCTGGCTTATTTTGAAATCTGAATCTTAATTCTCTTTTTCTGGTTGCAGTTATATTAATGATGTAAATTCACTTGTGTAATTAATGCGGTTCATTTCTGTTGATGTGGCAGAACAATCTTCACGAACTCTGGGCTCTTCTCAACTTTCTTTTACCTGAAATATTTAGTTCAGCTGAAACTTTTGACGAATGGTTTCAGATCTCTGGGGAAAATGATGAACAAGAAGTTGTTCAACAACTACACAAGGTAGGCCTTGTATCTGCTTCTATTGTTAAGGGTCTATTGTGATAATATCATATATAATAATGTTATTTCCTGTGTATAATTAAGGTCCTCCGTCCATTTCTCCTTCGAAGGTTGAAGTCAGATGTTGAAAAAGGGTTGCCACCGAAAAAAGAAACCATTCTCAAAGTAGGCATGTCACAAATGCAGAAACAGTATTATAAGGCATTACTGCAGAAGGATCTGGAGGTTGTTAATGCAGGTGGAGAACGGAAACGGCTCCTAAATATAGCAATGCAACTACGTAAATGTTGTAATCACCCGTATCTCTTCCAAGGTGCTGAACCTGGTCCTCCCTTTACAACAGGAGACCATCTCATTACAAATGCTGGTAATCTTTGTTTTAAATTAAGAGTAATTCAAAGTCTGTTTTTCGATGATCAACAAGATCTTGGATAATATCACTTTTAAAATAATATTTCATTTTCAGGTAAAATGGTTCTACTGGATAAGTTACTTCCTAAACTAAAAGAGCGTGATTCTAGGGTCCTTATATTTTCACAGGTCAGTTCTTTGAGAGAAAAAGATTATTGGAACTGATAATAGCTATTACTGTTTCATTCAACCTGTTGTATTTGTTCCATTCTTGCTTAATTTTTGGCACTTCTCCAGATGACTAGGCTGCTAGACATACTTGAAGATTATCTCATGTTCCGTGGATACCAATATTGTCGCATAGATGGTAATACTGGTGGAGAGGATCGGGATGCTTCCATTGAGAATTTCAACAAACCGGGAAGTGAAAAATTTGTCTTCTTGCTATCTACTCGGGCGGGAGGCCTTGGCATTAATCTTGCTACTGCTGATGTTGTCATTCTTTATGACAGCGATTGGTGAGTATTCTAATTGATTGTGTCAG